CAAGATATGGGGTCCTTAAACAATAAGGAAAGTACCAGCTACATATTGCCTGCCCTGGTGAGATTTGTGGTTGACAAAATGAGCATTTAACACTTTAAAAATAAATCAGTTGAGATTCTGTATAGTCTCCTATTCTTTTTTTTTTTTTTTTTTTTTTTTTTTTTTGGCGGGGGGAGGTCGGAGAAGGAAGTGATTGGGAGTAGAAACATGAATTCCACAAAATGTGATGTATGATGAGGAAACTCTTCCTATACAGCTTTCTGGGTAATACTCTTTCTCTTCTGTTTTCAGTATCTGTCAAAACTGTATTCTCTCCAGTGTTACTGTTGGGACATAGTCTTATTCCCCACATCCATCTGTGATGGAATTTGTCAGGGATGATCTTGTACACCAAGTAAAACGATGATAGCTTTAAAGAGACGATGAACATAATCTAAACTGATTGAATTCATAGACTAGCTTCTTGTGAAGCTTCCCTTAAAATGTACTTCATTATAAGGCTGTCTAAGGAACTAACGTTTGTGTACTCCTGTTCTAGTTCACTGTAATGGTAATGTTTAGGAACTAGCACATGGCTAGGTTGGCTTCAAGAGGAAAGGGGGGGGGGGGAATGCCTTTCAGCCTTAGAAAAACAAAGGTGTCAAGATCCTTAATTTTGTTTACTGTTTCATTTAGCCGTGACTGGAAAGGACCTGCAGCCAGCAGTACTACTTTCTCTCACCAGTTAGTACATGCCTTTTGGGGTTCTCTCTCATGGTAAAAATGACGTGCCTGGAGTTGTGTGGGTGAAAATTGACGTGAAAACGAGGCATTGTAACCTTGTGACTTTCTTATGCTTTAAGTGAAACTCCAATATCTGTGCACTGTAGAAGACTTCTTAACAAAACAAGTCCATTAGTCATAATGTGAAAAAATTGCTATGTGGGATTAGTTTTTCTTGGGCTAAAACAACCTTGCTGTGGGAATTCTCTCTGAATAATTACATGAGATAATACTCAACATAAGAACACCTCAGATTCTAAGGAATTCTGGAAGCAACTTGGCTGGTAAGGGTATAAAAGCTGAGTGAATAATTTTGATTTTTTTCAGTTCAGAGACCGAACCAAAAAATCCCGTGGGGGGAAAAGTGTCAGTTTGAACTAAAACTGACTCTCTTCAGTTTTTCTTGCCAAAAAGGAAAATGCACTCCCGTCTTCCCCCCCCTTCCATTTTTGGTAAAACAAAAATGTCTCATTTAATTGAAACTTTTTTCATTTTTTGTTTGGGTACTTTTCAAGTATTCACCGTTTCTGTTTTCAAATTTAGCTAAATTTCTAAATGAAACACCATTTCAAAGTGAAATGCTGAAACAGTTTGTTTCAAAATGGTTGAAATAGAATGTCTTAATTTTTTTCAAATTTGTTTTGCTAAAACTTAACAGAATTCGACCCAAATTTGTGTGTAGTTGTGGTGCCTTGAAAAAATGCATTGCTAGCAAATTTACTATTGATGGAAAAGAAAAATTCCCCCAGTTTTAGTACAATGTTTAATTCTTTTTCAGAGGTCATGGATGTTTCCTTTACAGAGTAGAAAAACAGTATCTTCTGCAGATGACTTCAAATTGGGTGTTCTTGGTTTCAGATTTATGCTGGCTCAGTTTTAAATTCTTTGTTTTTACTGTGGAATAATAGTTAGCCAGTGCACATACATGCATTTTTGCATTCTGTCTAAAAATACTGCATGTAGATACTGTAGGTTAATATTGAGGAACTTGGTGCTTCAGTGTCAAGACAGCACCGAGGAAAGCTGTAAACAGTCATTTCTCAATTGTTCTGGCTGAAAGAGGAAACAAAGATTGTCAAAAAGGTGCTAGAAGGCTGATACTTTCAAACCATTGTCTAGTATCCAAAGTTCTTCTTGGCTTTTTCTGGTATTGACACATTATGACTATTTCACAATTTTATAAACTGAAACCAGTTTCTTAAGCATGATAAATAGAGCAGTGGATGGAGAGTAATAACTTTCAGGTTACTAGTCTGACCAGAACCTTCAATGAAGTTCTGACTGGGGGTTGCCACATCTTTAAATCCATATAAGGGATTGCTTTTCAGTCTCCAAATGGTATTGTCATGTATCACATACTGCAACACCAACGCACAAAAGCATGAGGTTAGGATGATTTAGCAACCTCAGCTCAAGCCTTTATTTATTTTTATGGATCCATGGAACAACTTTTAATTTACTCTTAACCTTTTATATAACGTGTGTCCTTAAAGAGCCATTTTATTTGATATATTGAAGTGCTAAGGTTATTGTGCCCACTCTTCCTTCCCTTCTCTCCTTTTCCTTAACCCGTTGCTTTCTGATCTATCGATCATGTATAAAAGACCTCTCCTTAGGCTGGAGGTAGAAGTGCTTTAGTGGCAGTATGATCAGGTTCTTAAAAATGAAGTGCCTTGGATTTATCAAAAACACTGACTTTCTCCAGCTAGACAAGCTTCATTGAGTCTAGATGCTGAGGGCTTTGTGGTGAGGGAGGTGGTACCAGGCCCTTTTCATAAGCAAAGCTTTCCAAATGCTCAAGATCCTTCTTAGCATGAGGCAATTAATGTTCTTCATAAAGTAAATCTAATTCATGCAAACTGTAGAGAATATTGCTCATTGTAGTACATTTAGTTCACAAGCAGAAATCTTGGAAGTTATTCACAGTAATTAACGTTGGCCATTACCCAACAGCTGTGGTTCTCTAAAAGTGGTATGCATACCTCTGGGAGTATGCAAAGGTCTTCCAGGGGGTACATCAAATCATGTAGATATTTACCTAATTTTACAACACACTACATAAAAAGCACTAGTGAAGTCTGTACAAACTAAAATTTCATACAGACAATGACTTGTTCATACTGCTCTATATACTATGCACTGAAATGTAAATACAATATTTATATTCCAATTGATTTATAATTATATGGCAAAAATGAGAAATTTAAGCAATTTTTCAGTCCGTGTGCTGTGACACTTCTTTTTTTTTATGTCTGACTTTGTAAGTAAGTACTTTTTAAATGAGGTGAAATTTGGGGGTACATAAGACAAATCAGACTCCTGAAAGGGGTACAGTAGTCTGGAAAGGTTGAGAGCCACTGCCCTACAGTTACAGCAATCTGGACTATAAAGCTCTTGCTGTTACTCAATTAAAATCAATGCTAGAGAGCAGGGGTGGGCAAACATTTTAGCCCAACATTTTAGCCACATCTGGGTACTGAAATTGTATGGCAGGCCATGAATGCTCATAAAACTGGGGTTTGGGTTGCGTGAGGGGGTAAGAGCTCTGGCTGGGGGTGCAGGCTCTGTGGTGGGGCCAGAAATCAAGAATTGAGTGTGTGGGAGGGGGGTCCGGGCTGGGGCAGGGGGTTGGGTTTGGGGGGGTGAGAGCTCCAGCTGAGATTGTGGACTCTGGGGTGAGGGTGGGGATGAGGGTTTGGGGTGCAGGAGGGTGCTCCAGTCTGGGACCAAAGGATTTGGAGGGAAGGAGGGGGGGATAGGGGCTGGGCAGCAAGTTGGGGGGTGCAGTCTCCAGGTGGTGCTTTCCTCAAGCAGCTCCCAGAAACAGTGGCACGCCCCCCCCTCCCCCCCAGCTCCTATGTGGAGGCACAGTCAGGCAACTCCGGATGATGCCCCATCCGCAGGCACCGCCCCTGCAACTGCCATTGGCCATAGTTCCTGGCCAATGGGAGCTGCGGGGGCGGTGCTTGCGGACAGGGCAGTGTGCAGAACTGTCTGGCTGTGCCTTAGCTTCGGAGCTGGACGGAGGCATGCCGCTGCTTCTAGGAGCCATGCAAGCCCCCAATCCCCAGCTGGAGCGGGGAGAGCCCCAGACCCTGCTCCCTGGCTGGAGCTTGAGGACCAGATTAAAACATCTGAAGGGCCAGATGTGGCCCCTGAGCCACAGTTTGCCCATCCTGCTATAGAGGCAGGATGAAAATGGAGTCAAATGGAACTAATATTAACTTGAAATACTTACAAAAGGACAATCTTGTTGGACAAATAGCCTTTTCTTTTGACTAATCTCTTAAGAAGAAAAATATTCTGCAGCTTCTCTTCCATTTTTTTCTGCCATTACATAAGTTCAAATTGACCATCTTGAAAAGCAGTCCAAATTCAGAACCAGAACAGAGCTTTACTAAACTTTTGATGAAGAGATTGTTGAGAGAGCCAGTGTACAAAAGTATAAAATGCAGTGATTAAATGGTCAGCTCAGACCATTGCAAATTCAGCTACCAGAATGGTCATGTGAGTGGTGCAAATGTTAGATTAAAAGCCAATCTGGTGCTGTGCAGACAGTGTCTCAAGAAAGCTTATACCGGGTTAGTTTCTAACACCTATTGTAACTGAAAGGAGTTGAGTTTTCAGTTGACTCCAGGAAATGCTATCTCAGAATAGAAACAGTGTATACTTGGATGCTGTGTATATAACTAAACATTATTTTCAAGTACATTACACACCTCATGCTGAAAAGTGATACCTGCAATTTGTACTTTCAGACTACTGGGCACAATGGTTACCATTTTCCCTGACTCCAAAATCATCAGTTGGATTTCTGTTCTTGTTTGTGAGGTTTTTTTACTTTAAGACTTTCTGGTCTAGGAAGAACTCAGGAAATGACCAGTAGCTAGAATTTCCCATGAAATGTAAATATCCTTTCTAGGACAGGGATTTAACAATAGCAGAAAGAGAACCAACTTAAAATACTTTATTTACTGGTTAGTTCATGAGTTTTTTCACTCATACCTCAGTTTTGTAACACACAGGTGAATAGCTCTGTTAAATAACCCCTAGTATTATACAAGCATTGTACTCTGCAGAAGGAAGTAGGCATGCTTTTATACTCTTTGAGCTCAGTGTGTTGCCTTCCAATCATCTTTTCAGTTGAAAAGTGTCATTTGTAGCAGTCTCTACAGACCAATGCAAACCATCTCCAGAACTTTTTATTATGGGTTAATGTTCTGTTTCGATTTTTACAGGAGACTAGACCTTACTTCCTTTTGATCAACTCCTTTTAAAGCAACATCTCATCATGACTGAACTGTCACCTGAAGAAATTCAATTGAGGGCCCACCAAGTCACTGATGAGGTAAACTTTTTTCCAAGGCTCATTCAGAATCCTAATATATAGGTTATCCTAACACAGTGTAAACTTGTGGAGAATAGGAAGGTATGGGGAGCTGAGGAAGAAGATTGCAAGGGCAAAGTTGAATATCCCGAACTTCTGTATCTTCACTTGGCTTTCAACTTGTAGCTGCTGGGGCCAAGTATTTTTTGTTTTTGTGTTTTTTTTTAAATAGGAGCCTGAAATTTCACTCCTAAAGTGCCACTTGCCTGATTTTTTTGAAAGTGCTGAGCACCTACAACTTCCATAGAGACCAATGAAATCTGTGGGGTGCTTACCCTCTTAAAATCAGGGAGGTGCTTAAACACACATTTTAGGATCTTGAAGTTAGGCTCGTATTTTTTATGATCTTTGCTGAGCTATAGTAATTGTCCCTGAGATATCAGAGCAGTTTTTCCTAGTGTCTGAGGAGCACTTGAAGTTTCAAGTTTATTTTGTTGACCTTAGTGTTTATGAATAATGGCTAATGGAGAAGAATCCTAGATCATTGTAGCTCTGATATATGTGTGGATAGTTGCTTATCCCTTATTTCCAGGATACTAAAACTTTGTGCACTAGGTATTTTATTATATTGAACGCTTAGTGTTTGAGAGTCTTATTCAGCGGTGGGCAAACTTTTTGGCCCGAGGGCCACATGTGGGTTGCAAAACAATATGGAGGGCCAGATAGGGAAGGCTGTGCCTCTGCAAACTGCCGGGACCCCTTGCCCCTAACCACCCCACTGGGACTCCAACCCCCCCTGTCCGCCAGCTCCCAGGACCCCACCCCCTATCCAACCCCCCTGTCTCCTGACCTCTGCGCCATCTGACTGCCCCCTGAGACCGACTGCCCCCTTACCATGCCACTCAAAGCAGCAGGACAGGCTTATTGGAGGTGGGCGGGTGCAAGCCGTGTTGGCCGCATGGTGGCATAGCTGTGGGGGTGAGGGGACAGCGGGGGAGGGGCTGAGGGCTCAGGGGCCAGGCAGGACGGCTCTGCAGGCCATAGTTTGCCCACTTCTGGTCTTAGTGAAGCACATGTTGTTGTTAGAGAATCAATATGTTAAATCTTCTGTTTCTAGTCTTTGGAAAGCACAAGGAGGATTCTTGGCCTGGCTATTGAGGTAAGAGAGCGCTTGCTAAATCTTTGGAAATGCACCAACTTGGTGAAGCAGTGATGTCAAAGAATCTCAGAATAAATTGACTATACTTTATCAAATGTACAAAGTAAACAAACTGGAAAAAAATAGAAATATTTTTCTCTGACCTTTTCAGTTATAGTAATTTGTAACAAAAGTAATTGAAAAAGAAGTTCAGACAGTTTTTTTGATGCTGTCATAACTGGAAACACTAGAACTGTCTACTGGCAGAAGATAAGGTGAAATAGCAGACAAGTGTACCTTGAGAGATGGAGGAGACTAGGGCTTTAAAAAATAACCCAGTTATAGGGATACAGAATATGGAGACAAATTATTGGTTATCTAAAGAGAAACTCTTCCTCTTCTGAGAGCCACAGTTGTGTAGACAGCTTTCCAGGTTGCAGCTGAATCTCCTGCACTTGCATGTTGTCTGACAGGTCAGAAATAGTTGGTGTCTTGTGACCAGTGTTAAAAGGCAAAGTAACTATTGGGATACAAGACCATATAGAAGCAACACCGAGTGGAACTGGATAACGTTTCACAGTCTAATATCTGGCAATCCATAGTAATTCCATCTGAAGCCGCAAGGAAACTGAACATTGGTTCCCAAAGTTGAAACTTGTATCCAGCCATGACTGCTTGGTAACCAGGAGCCAACCACACTACCTGAAGAGTAGGGGGGTGGGTGTGAGATGTATATCTTTTTCTTTGTTTCCATGCCCAAAGGGAAGGTCTGAGCTGCCTTGGGACTTCTCATCCTCATTGACTGCTGTCAGTGAGCCAGGAGTTAGATGGGGACTGGCATTACCAGCAAACCGAGAGGCGTCCTTGGCAAAGGCTGTCATGGGAGGCATCTCATGTGCATTCTTCTTGGATTCATTCATAAAATTTCTTTCTCTTCTGAGAAATATGCCAAGACTTAATAACACTGAAGACTTGAGCTTTTACTGGCTCTTAGAGTTAAGGACAGCTGAAGATTGCAAAGATGCATCCTCAAAATGAAGATTTGATTGAGGGTATGCTTGACTGCCTTGTGCTGTGGCACATGCTATTTTAGGAACTGTGAAAGATCCTGGCACTAATGGGGTATCACATCAGCTAATTCTAATTTAACAAAGCTCTTCAATACTGGAATCTGTGGTAGTGACATACTTAACTCTGGTTTCTTCAGTACTTGAGAAATTGCAAGCGCCTTTAAACTCCCCACACTTTAAAGGATCCTTAGAGAAAATCTGCATTGGACCAGAAAGTTTTGCCTTTGTAGGCTCAATAGTCTGACTCAGGGGTGTCTCTACTGATGTGACCTCAGTGCCCATTTGAAAACTTGAGCACTTCAGCCCTGACTAAGCTTTGGGATTGATTTCCCCAGTGCCAGAGCTGCTGTTGACTTTGACTGGCCTAAAATTGAATGTAGGCTACTTTGTTACTTCAAAGGGCAAGTGGCTGATCTGGTGTAGGGTCCAGAGACTGGGCTCATAAGGCTTCCTCCAGGAGGAAGTCCTACCACTTTCGCTGCCTACTCCGGCCATCCTATGTGAAGGTCTTATCTACTGGGCAGTGACGTAGGTGGTGAGGTTGGGAATTGATTTCTCATTGATTTGTCCATGCCAAGTTTGATCCGTTTGAATATCTGAGTACAGCAAATCACTTGAAATACCTTTCCCTGTTTAGATAAAAGGGATTTCTACCTACCTTTAATTGCTTCTGCACTGAGACTAAGCAAAATTGTCAGTCCAAAAAAGACTCTCAGAACACTGTACATTTCTAAAAAGGATATTAATAGAAGTGCCATTTCAACCAGAACTGCAGTATTGTCACTATGTAGTCACTTTTTTTACACTATCCTATCATGTGACACTAAGGGCTGGTCTGCACTACCACTTACGTTGATGTAACTTTCATTGCTCAGGGATGTGAAAACGACACCCCCTGGGTGATATAAGTTACATCGACTTAGCGCCAGTGTGGACACCGTTTTATGTGAGTCGGAGACGCTCTCCCGCCAACATCACTTCCGCCTCTCAGGGAGGTGGAGTAATTATGCCGATGGGAGAGCGCTCTCCCATCGACATAGCGCATCTTCACCAGACGCGCTACAATGCAGTAGTGTAGACTTGCCCTTAGTGGTGGTCTGCATGGCAAGCTTCCGTTATTCCAATATTGTAGTTCAGGGCAGGTGTTACTCTAGTTAGCACTGGGGCCTTTGACTGTGTGCTGGTATACTGAAAGCAGTGTTATTTCTGCAAACCTCCTTTTCTCTTTACAGTCCCAGGATGCAGGAATCAAGACTATCACCAGGCTGGATGAACAAGGAGGTGAATTCTACCTGTGTGCAAAGCAGAGTTGTGAATATTAAGTCTTAATGGTCTGCAGTAATATCTGTGCTTATGTTTGGTGTCCTAATTTATCAGTCTTTGGCCTCAGTAACTCATTTTGGTATAGAAATGAGGTTACTTCACTCGTCAGATGTTCCTATGTTTGTGCAATTACAGTATTTAAGGTTTAGGTCTGGTTCATGTCACCAGAGTTTGCAAGCTGTGCAATTAACTGTGCTATTGAACCTCCCGTCCCATCCCCCTGACAAAATAATGTTTCTTTACTTTAAAAGCAGCTAATAACATCTAAAACATCCAGACAACATCACTATTACACTGGGGGGGCTTTTAATTTAGGATTGCTGGAAACGTATAATCAAAAATTCTATTGCCGCATATGCCACTGTTTGCTTTTGCTACAAAAAGTCCCTTTAGGGGACGAGTGGCTTGAATATACAGATCTAATTTGTAGCTTAGATGTTAAAACACTTTGGATAAAAGCTTCCCCTTTAATAAGGTCTAATCTCTCAAACTTTTGTATGTTTTGTAACTACTTTTTTTAGAACAACTAAGCCGGATAGAAGAAGGCATGGACCAAATAAACAAGGACATGAGAGAAGCTGAAAAGACCTTGACAGAGCTCAACAAGTGTTGTGGCCTCTGTGTCTGTCCTTGCAACAGGTCAGTTAACAAATCCAGACCCAGGTCTGAATTTCTGGGATCCCACAAAAAGAGTACCCCATTGGGGAACATTCAGAGATGAAATAACTAAAGAAAAGCTTTCTACTTGCTGTTGGAGTAAAAACTACACTGATAATAGTCAACTTTCCCTAAGTGCTTTTTAGGGAAATTGATAACTGCAGCTTGCTGAGGAGTGTACCATTAGATAGGGATTAATAGCTAAAACATACCCACAGTAACCACCTTTTAGATTTGTAAATAATGGGATCCCAATCTACCTGAAGCTTATATGCAGTAAAGCAATATTAGTGTTTAAAAATAACTTCAGTTTTCAACTTTTTCTTCTCCCTCTTTGTAATAAAGATCCATTGGAATTTGAAATCTTCTTCCCAAATGTATTTCTCTGTTGCTGGGACACTGGCTTATTAAGACTGGTAATATGTGCTGGGCTACTCTGTTTTTCTTGGCATGGGGTGAGAGGAAGGTGAACATATTATGGCATTTATTTTTGCAGAGGACAAATAAGATCTAGCATTGAGTAGACTTTACAGATGAGTATATGTGGGGGTCAGAGTGGGGGGGGGGGGGGGGGGGGAAAGGAAAATGAGAATAGGCCTTGGTCTTACCAGCTTTAAAAATCTCACATTACTTATTACATTCTCTATTTTTATTTTTTTATTTTGCAAGCTTTTGTCATAGTGCCTTAATTGTAATCAGTGTCATCACTGGCCTCTCAGAAAATGTCAGTTAAAAGGGTTTTAGATCATGCTGGATGGCATTTCTGGTGTAGTTTCAAACATTTGTAGCAAAAGCAAATAGAGCAGAGAGGGATGTCTTGTACTCTCTCTAGGCAGTTTTACCATTGAGCTACCACTAGTTGTTATCTCTAAGCTGCTCTAAAGTATTAAATGAATTTGTGGGAATCTTACAAAAATGGCTAAACAGGCCCCCCTTCCCCCCACCCCCCTTAGGGTGCTAGGGGAAAAAAAGGGGACTCTTCGTATGTATACTGGCCAAAGTGAGTTGTTTGCAAATTTTTATTGTGGGCCCTATCAGTGGGCCAAAAGGAGAGCCTAGATCTCTTCAATGCTTGAAGTGGAAGCAAGGTAGTTAAACTGTACATTCAAGCCCTTTACATGAGGGTCTCATTCAGAACAACATAATGCTATGTGATCATCCTAAATTAAAATGAGCATGAGGTTTTCAGGACTAAAAGTTCAGACTTCTGTTTCAACAGTTTGACAAGTAAATAGCTCGGATCTGGCCTGTAGCTCAACACAAAGTTGTTGTACCAATGTGCAATTTCATTCTTCTTAACATAACTTGCATCTTGTCAGTATCTCCGATTATAATCATGTCCAGGTTTCTGAATTTGTCACATTGGCCACTTCCAGTAAGTGATTCATCTTGGGCAAAAAACCTGATATCTCGTGCCATTGAATCTGAGCAGATCATCTATCAAGACCACTCTGTATTTGTGTTGGAGTTTGTGGCACTTCCAAGTATGTTAATTCCGGCAGGTGACTTTCACAGTGAGGTGCCTTGTGAAGTTTGGAGTGTGCTGAGGTATATTAGGGAAGCAGTGATGAGGTCAAGAGCAGAAAACTGTACTGAGTGGATCTGAGAAATGCTGATGGTCCTCTCACCCCAATGTCCCACTTATGAGTGGTGTCTTACATAAATGTTCAGCATTAGGATAGCCAGTCTTCCACACACAGGCTGAATTTAAACACCAGAGTGCCCACAACTAAATGTTTTAGTCTTTTTTCTTCCCCTACTTCATTCAGATTATTTAAAGCTACTTTGTTTTGAAAGCAAAGGACTTCAGCTGAAAAAAACTGTCACTAACCACTTGCTTGCATGTTTGATGGTTTTTACTGTTCTTTTTTCCATTCTCTCCTAACATACCCACCTTCCACTTACTTAATAAAAATGAAGACTAAACACTAGAAGCTGGATTCAATTAACTGGTGAAAGCGGACTTTAGGACAAGGTCAATCTTGTGACACAGCCTGTACTGTTAACCATCTGTCTAAGGTGATGTTCTAAATGGGTACGTGTTTGCATGGGCATGCTGTTTGCATGCAAGACATGTTGTGACTGTCTGTGGTTTTGTGGTGTTCCAGTGTAACATTCATGTCTATAGAGAGCACTTTATAGAATGGATTAGGTATGGGAAGCCTAGTAACTCTACAGCCGCCCCTCAAGGGGCTGGATCAAATACCAGAGCTGTACCAGTTGATCTTCAGGATCTTAAACATATTGGCTTCCTTTTCAGGAAGATGTCAAACTTCCCCCAGTTAGACACACATGGAGTAATAGTTTGGAAAATTACTTTAAACATCGCAACATGGCAGTCATGTTTGTATTTCAGTGAGTCACTCAAACTTGTAGAAATAAAAAGCTGATCTTTCTCATTGTCCAGCACCATAAAACTCCACCTGGGGTGTAAAAGTGAAGTTGCATGTTCAGACTTGTGCATCATTCTGTATGGCAAATTCTACTTTTATTTACAACTGTGCCACCCCGTTGAATTGCAATCTCTATTAATCCTGCACAAACCAAAATAGAATCAGCATGCTCTCCCATAATTGTGTTGCTTTGGTTCTAACAAGTAAAAAGTAGTAGAAATGAATTTTTCTTACTAAAGCAAGTTCCTTTGGGTGAATAAACAAAAGGGATCCGATCTGATCTGACCAAGCTCCATACCAGAAATGTGACTGAATGCATCAGTTTACACTGGTATTTGTAGAGCTCTGCTGAGGGTGGTATTACATGGGCTCTGACCAAAGACTAAGGCATTCTTCTAAGCTAGAGTTGTCTGCCCTTTTCCTCATTCCCAGTAAACAAATGTGAAGTTGCCTGAATTTTGGCAGCTAAAACTTGGGCAGAGATTCTAATGAGAGCATCAGTCTTCATTTGATACTATTATCATTTTTTCTTCTCAGGACATTTTTTTATATCACAAACTTTTTGAATAGGTGCTGCAAAATTTTAAACTTAATGTTCTTGAAAGGTGCCACACTGACAGAAGTCCTGTAATTACAGCATAGGTACAGTGCTAGTGAAAGCTTCCCCATACTGCCCTGCAAATGTTTTGGCCCAATGAAGAAATAGAAGGAAGAGGGTAGTTCAGGCTTAATGGCCAGTTTAATCCTTGGTCTCACTTGTGAGACTACCAACAAACAAACTTAGTTTGTATGGGGTGGTTACAAAACCTTTTCTCTGAAATTTTACACGGGTGTAATTTTTAAAAATTTTTAATAATCTCTCTAACTTGGCTATAGAACTACTTGCCTTTTTAACTCATATTTCATAGCTCCTTGCCACTGCTGCTATAAGATACTTGATTATAATAGGGCTTTTGCCATATCAGGCCATCTTTGCTTTTTTTTGGATCATGCACTAAAATCATAATGGTAAGTATGACTTAAGTTATCCTGTGTTTAACACATCAATCTATTGCTGGAAAACTACCCTTGAAGAATCCAGGAGCGATGGCATCAGGAAATCATCCCTTGGATACATTTGAAATGCTAGTCAAGTGCATAAATGTTTCCCAAGGTTGCTTCAACCTCAAGGTACCTCTTGCTCATCCCCTGTTGAGGATTGTGTCCAAATCGAAATAATTATGCTTCTCTGTTCATCTGTAGTCTTGTATTTAAGATGTTGCAGAAAATGACAAAAAAAAAAAAAATCCCCAAAAAACCCACAGATTTTAATTTAGTGTCTTAAGGCCTGGTCTAAATACAGCTTTTGTACCAGCATAACCCTTTTGGTTAGGGGATAAGTTTTCCTCTCTAAATATTTATAGTGGTACAGCTTCTACTGTGAATGAAGTTATATTGCTACAAAGGTGCTTTACACTGGTATAACTTATTTCCATACTAAAAGGAGAATATACTATACTAATATAACTGTGTCCACATTAGGATAGTTGTAGCATTTTGTACTGCTTTAACTATACCAGTATAGTATAGCTCTTGCATTGACAGAGAGAGCAGTGCACTGTGGTAGGTATCCCACTGTGCAACTGGCCGCAGGGTGCTTTGGGAAGGGTTTGCAATGCCTCGTGGGGCAGGTACAGTGTCACATAATGCAGGTTTCTCAATCCCATCGTTCCATGGGCACCCTACTAGATTGCCAGCTGCTTTTCAACTGAAGTGCATAGGGAGGGAAGTGGGGTGTACACACGGCAATGCCACTGGGAGAAAGTTTGGGGGGGGGGGCAGTGTGTATGTGAGAGTGTGTTTGTGGGAGAGTTGAGTGTCAGCATGCGGTCTCAAAGTTCAGACAGCCACCAGAAGCAACCAGTCCTGAGGCAGGGAGTGGGGGGAAACTCCCACCTGCCCCTCTCTCTCTCGCGCACACACACACACGCGCACACACCCTACCTACACCTCTGCCTGCCTCTATGCTCATAGTGTGGGAGAGAGCAGCATTCCACATTAATGATTCGCTTTTTGTTGCGGGAGCTGAGTGGTATCCTTAGCTGTCAAATCTTCATGGAGCTTTAACAAGGGAGGAGCACATGCTTGTGTAGCAGGAATGCAGGGGAGCCAGTTCAAAACAGTGAGCAGAAAGGTCCTGGCAGGCATTTATTTTGTTGCCAAAAGTGGCATTGCAGTGTGTACACCTCCACTGTTTCGCTGCCAAAAGCTGCCTTTGGGTGACAAAACTCTGCAGTATAGCCAAGGCCTTAATGACTTTGCAGCACAACTGCTATTGAAAGTCACTGGTGTTTTTACTTTCAGTAGGACTTTTACTCAAGAAGAGGAGGATATGCCCATTATGCAATTGTGTGTGTGGGGGGGAGAGACAATAGCAGATAATGTGGAAATGCTAAAATGCCTTTCTTGTTTTAACCAAAAAGGTTAGTAGCGATCAGATGTTTAATATAGTGAATGCCAATGAAAATTGGATAGGATCTGAGACTAAAATAGGGAAAGAACAAATTTTAAAATTAATTAGACAAGTTAGATGTCTTCAAATTGGCAGGGCCTGATGAAATACATCCTAGAATACTCAAGGAGCTGACTGAAGAGATATGAGTCATTAGCAATGACTTCAAAAACTCATGGAAGACAGCAGAGATTCCAGAGGGCAAAGAGTGCCAATCTATAAAAAGGGGAATAAGGACAGGGAATTATAGACCAGTCAGCCTCAGTACCCAGAAAGATAAGGGAACAAATAAGCAAACAGTATGCAAACACCTAAAAGATAAGGTGATAAGTAATAGTCAACATAGCTTAGGTTGGTTTGTCATGATTTGTTCTAAACAAATAGCTTTCTTTATCAGGGTAGCAAGCTTCCTGGATGGGGGGAAGCAGTAAACATGTTATATCTTGACTTAAGTAAGGCCTTTGATACTGTCCTGCATGGCCACCTTGTAAACAAACTAAACAAATATAGCCTAGCTGGAGCTATTATAAGGTGGGTGCAGAACTGGTTTGAAAACCATTCCCAGAGTAGTTATCAGTCATTCTCGAGCATTTGTTGCAGTGCTCATCCATCCTGACAGCTGAGAAGTTTTTCCTAATGTCCAACCTAAACCTCCCTTGCTGCAATTTAAGCCCATTGCATTTTCAATGGGGTCCTGCAGGCAGGGATCAGTCCTGGGTCTGGTTCTGTTCAATATCTTCATAAATGATTTAGATAATGGCATAAAGAGTACACTTAAAAGTTTTTAGATGATACCAAGATGGGAGGGGTTGCAAGTGCTTTGCAGGATAGGATTAAAATTCAAAATGATCTGGACAAACTGGAGAAATGGCCTGAAGTAAAAAGAATGAAATTCAATAAGGACAAAAGCAGAGTACTTCACTTGGGAAGGAACAAACAAAGTTGTACGCATACAAAATGGAAAATAACTGCTTAGGAAGGACAACTGTAGAAAAAGATCTGGATGTTATAGTGGATCACAAACTAAATAGGTGAAGAAACAGATTGACAGAGCCAGACGAGTACCCAGAAGTTACTTACTACAGGACAGGCCCAACAAAGATAATAACAGAACCGCCACTAGCCATGACCTTCAGCCCCCAACTAAAACCTCTCCAACGCATCATCAAGGATCTACAACCTATCCTGAAGGACGACCCATCACTCCCACAGATCTTGGGAGACAGGCCAGTCCTTGCTTACAGACAGCCCCCCAACCTGAAGCAAATACTCACCAGCAACCACACACCACACAACAGAACCACTAACCCAGGAACCTATCCTTGCAACAAAGCCTGTCAACTGTGTCCACATATCTATTCAGGGAACACCATCATAGGGCCTAATCACATCAGCCACACTATCAGAGGCTCGTTCACCTGCACATCTAACAATGTGATATGTGCCAGCAATGCCCCTCTGCCATGTACATTGGCCAAACTGGACAGTCTCTACGTAAAAGAATAAATGGACACAAATCAGATGTCAGGAATTATAACTTTCAAAAACCAGTCGGAGAACACTCCAATCTCTCTGGTCACTCGATTACAGACCTAAAAGTGGCAATTCTTCAACCAAAAAAACCTTCAAAAACAGACTCCAATGAGAGACTGCTGAATTGGAATTAATTTGCAAACTGGATACAATTAACTTAGGCTTGAATAAAGACTGGGAGTGTATGGGTCATTACACAAAGTAAAAGTATTTCCCCATGTTTATTCCTCCCCACGCTGTTCCTCAGACGTTCTTGTCAACTGCTGGAAATGGCCCACCTTGATTATCACTACAAAAGGTCTGCCCCTCCCCGCCCCCCCCGCCCCCCCGCTCTCTTGCTGGTAATAGCTCACCTTACCTGATCACTCTCATTACAGTGTGTATGGTAACACCCATTGTTTCATGTTCTCTGTGTATATAAATCTCCCCACTGTATTTTCCACTGAATGCATCGGATGAAGTGAGCTGTAGCTCATGGAAAGCTTATGCTCAAATAAATGTTAGTCTCTAAGGTGCCACAAGTCCTCCTTTTCTTTTTGCAGATACAGACTAACACGGCTGCTACTCTGAAAATTAAACAGGAGTCAACAATGTGATACTGTTGCAAAAATAAACCTGAACATCATTCTGGGATGTATTAGCAGGAGCATTGCAAGCCAGACACGAGAAGTAATTCTTCCATGCTGATAAGACCTCAATCTGGAGTATTGTGTCCAGTTCTGGGCACCACATTTCAGTAAAGATGTGGACAAATTGGAGAGCGTCCAAAGAGCAGAAACAAAAATGGTCTAGAAAATATGTTCTGTGAGCAAAGTCTGAAAAACTGGGTTTGTTTCTTCTGAAGAAGACTGAGGGGGGGGACATAAGTCTTCAAGTACATAAAAGGTTATTACATGGAGGAGGGTGAAAAATTGTTCTCCTTAACCTCTGATGACAAGTCAAGAAGCAATGGGCTTAAATTGCAGCAAGGGAGGTTTAGGTTGGACCTTAGGAAAAACTTCTCAGCTGTTAGGATGGATGAGCACTGCAACAAATTGCCTAGGGAGGTTGTGGAATCTCAATCACTGGAGATGAATTGGAGGTTTTTAAGAAGAAGTTAGACGCACACCTGTCAGGAATGGTCTAGTTATTCCTTAGACCTGCCTTGAGTCCTGGAGACTGGACTAGATGTCCTATTAAGATCCCTTCCAGTCCTATACTTCTATGAAATCACTTGGGTGCCTTTGAAAATCCCACCCTGAAAGAAATAATTCTCTCCTTTCCCTTGCCACCTGGGGAAAAAAAATCTGGTGTCCTCTCTTCCCTCTGTTGATCTAGCATATATTTGGGTTTATCTCTTTTTGGTAGAACAAAGAACTTTGAGTCTGGTAAGTCATACAAGTCAACCTGGGGTGATGGTGTGGAGAACTCAACAGCCCATGTTGTATCCAGCCAGCCAGGACGTGTAACAAATAATCAGCCACAGACCACTGGAGGAGCAAGTGGGGGATATATTACACGGTACGTTTGTGTATCTTCCCCCCAAACATGTATGCCATTAGATACCTTTTAAGTCAGTTTCTTCCTCCCAGAATGCATTCAACTAGAGTGGCTGTACATTAAATCCTTACTGTCAATTGGGAAGGAAGCCCTTTGGTGAATTGCTTTCACTTGGGGATTTATAGCTGCAGTTTCACTGCTCCTAGCATGCCGTGGTGGGAATAATTACTATACTTAATTAGCCCCTGGATGCATATGAGCTTGGTGCTCCAATTATTGTGGTGAATGTTGCATTTGGATTTGCTCTGTCACATAATGAAAGGGCACCTGACACAGAATTTGAATCCCTCTCTAATACAGTAGAGCATAATCTGCCAATGGCTCTTTGTTTTGAATTTTGAGGCCATTTTAACGAAACTGCTTTGTCCAATTTCTTTCAGCAAAATTAATTTAAGGAGAAATAGTAGCAGGCTGCATGCTTGAATAGATGGTATTAAAGTGAAGCAGCCCCCCTTCTCTGGCTTAATAGCCCCTGCTCTGAAAATGTGGGTTGTGATGAGAAATGTTTTAGTGGGAGTTTATTGAACAACATTTTGGCAGTGGGGAAGCCACTTTCTGGTTCCTGAACACAGGGGTCTCCTGATATTTTTCAATAGGATAACAAACGATGCCAGAGAGGAGGAGATGGATGAAAATCTCACTCAGGTGGGAAATATCCTGGGGAACTTGAAAAACCTGGCCTTGGATATGGGCAATGAGATTGATTCACAAAACAAGCAAATAGACCGGATAAATGAGAAGGTAAGAACCAAATAATCCTGTTCTTGCCATCTCCATCTTGGATATAGTGACACAAGAGAAGAATTATGGAATACTCTTAAATTAATGGCAGGTTTCAGAGTCGCAGCTGTTTAAATTTAAATTAATGGGTTCACTATGCTGCCTTTATGAACATTTGCAGTGATCAAGTGCATCAGGCATATGCAATCATACCATACTAAACTTTTACTACCAGTTCCTGAACATATTCAGTATCTTACGTGTTCAAATCATTGCATGTCCTTGGTATTCTCTGTCTACACAATTCAGAAGTACAGGACCTGGAATGCTTATGGATTAGTGTTGTAACTGACAAATCACAAGATTGGGTACTGATGGGAGTCTGTTATAGACCACTAAATCAGACTGCAGGATGGCTCTTTCAACCTCTATCTACAATGTGTGTGTATGGGGGGGAAGGGTAACTGTTACGTAGGGGAGTTCTATCTGGGGGATGTATGAAGGAGGTCTTTATGTTGGTACTTTATGACTAGAAAAACTTCTTTGAGTTGCTAAAACTTATCTATAGATCTCTAACAAAGTATTACACCCTACTAACAGTACTTTTATATTAGACCTCATTCTGACAGATAAAGATTAATTGATCACCTAATTAAAAATTAGTGGTTGCCTACTAGAAGTGGTGATGATCTAATTACATTTATTTGCCAACTGAATATAGTCCTGACCAGTAATATCTATATTTGGTGTTTGTGTTTTTTTTGTTTTGTTTTTTTTAAAAGGGCCAATTTCCCAAAGCTGAAACCACTTCACAGGCTTTTACAACTCCCTTACGCTTACTCACAGGATACCATCTCATTTTCATTTAACAATCATTAAAGCATTAGAATCGTTTCAGATTCCACCTCACTGCTGATGATATCCTTTATAATAAAAGCCCTATGCTCTGCTATTGACAACCTGCACAATTCTGCATAGAAATGATGAAGCATATTGCATCCTGAACATGCACCTCTTCCCTGTCCTCACACATGAGGGTACAAAACATAGATCTCTTGACAGAGCTGTGACTGACACGTACCTCAGAGTATTCCACAGATCTTGCAAACACATCTCTATGAAGCAGAGCTAACTACTGCCTCCACAATTCAGTACAGCTATGCCTGACACTGACCACACTCATTTTACCTGGAGTGCATGTAGATAGTAAATACTTACACTGCTTTCATGTCCAGACTCACTGCTAACACACTTTGTAATAAAACTCCTGTACCCTGCTAATTATAATGTAAACTATTCCATCCTGTATACTATCCTGAAGGTATACATGCAGCTCTTCCCTTTACTCACACATGTCAGAGGGTGCAAAACAGATCTCTTATAATCAAGGCTCTGCTACACACCTCAAAGTAAACCTCGTATCACAAACACACTTCTACCAAGCAGGCCAACTATTGCCTCCACCATTTAGAGTAGGTACATCTGACGCGCTGACTGCATTTGGAGAGTATGCAAATAATTCCCATTGGCTATTGCTAGCTTGATGGAAACAGAGGGAAGGTGACGTGGATAACTGTTTTCCTTTTGTCCTTTTAATAGTGCTAGATGGGATCTTCTGGGTGAGAGTGAATGGGTTGTAAAAGGAGGTGAAGAGCTTCTACATTTCAGCAGCTGTGGGGTTGGTAGAGTAAAGATGTGTGATAACAGGACATATTGGAGCATTGCTGAAAGAGAACAGAGAAAAGGTTGCATGGCAATCTTGACTGTGCATTTCCTGGTTTTCAGACGTTTGAGGTTTTGCTCAACTCAGTGGTGTGTTATCCTGTTCCAGAACACCAAGCAACCTTACCTATGCATTAATATAGGGGTTTTGCTATTGAATATACAGAAGAATGGTGGTGTTGCCAATGTATATGGCTTTATTTAGACTGTCCAATTCTTATACCCACACTTTAAAAAGATTGTAGACAAATTGGAAAATGTGCAGAAACGAACTACAAGAATGATTCGAGGCCTGCATTACCAGCCTAAAGAAACTCAACCTATTATTAGTTTAGCAGAGAGGAGGTTAACAGGTGACTTGACCAGCCTGTAAGTATCTACAGGAGGGCAACATTCTGACAGTAAAATACTTTTTTAATCTAGCGGACAAAGACATAAGGTTAAATGGCTGGAAACTCAGCCTAGATAAAATCAGACTAGAAATAAAGTACACATTTTTAATAGTGAGGGAAATTAACCATTGGAATTACTTATCTAAGGATGTAGTGCAGTCTCCAGAGTTTGATGTTTTTTTAAACCAAGATTGGATGTCTGTCTAAAAGATGCTTTGGCTCAACCAGACACTATGGGCTTAATGCTGAAATGACTGGGTCAGGTTCTGTGGCCTGTGTTATGATCATCTAGTCTGACATGCATAATGGTCCATTCTTGTCTCAAAATCTATGGAGCTTGGATCTTTTCTTGAGATGTAAGAACACTGCCAATTGTCTAATGGAATTGGCTGATTCTTGGATGCTTTAGTTTAATTATAGGTGTTTGTGATCTTACCATAAATTTTTTGCCAAGGACATAGTGTTATGACAACAGTACATTCAAAAGACTCATGGGAGTCTGTTTTACACAAAATACCTTACCAATTGTCTTTCCTTAGTGTTTTAGATTAATCATTTTCAGTTGGCAGTGCATCCTTTTGGTCATTTTGCATACATGGGGAATGGCTTAATTTCTCCTATATTCTAAGGCCTGAGTACTGTGGTATATTTTTTAACGTTGAGAAGTTGTGCCACAGGAGCTCTGAGGATTACTATTTTCTATGGAAGACATTAAGTATTAGGGAGGAAAAATCCTATTTTTGTTTTGGTGGTGGATTCTGCTCCACACCCTCAACTCTCTTCCCTTAATTCCTCCAATTCACTGAAGCCAGTCGTTTTATTTATTGAGTTGCCTTGAGGGGCTTGCTAGAGAGATTGGATTTCTTCCCTCTGATCATTCTGCCTTTGCAAAACTACCAGCCCCTGCTGAGCCAATCGGTAAGAGCTCTTGTCTTCCTCCTACCTATCCGAATAGGAGCATCTTGCACTTCTGTGGTCAAGCCCATAAAGAAATTTTGACTTAGTTTTTGACCTTTTTTAACCCAACCTTTGTACTTTTGGACAATTTAAGCATTATACCCAGATGTATAAAAACTCTTTCCTTAAGCTATGTATTAAATCAATTTTAACATTAGACTAAAAATGTTTAAGACTTTCTTAGTATCTAGTCTTCAGTTACCTGCAATTCTTACACATGCTTTTCCTTTTTCAGGCGGATACCAACAAAGATCGTATTGAGCAAGCCAATGCCAGAGCCAAGAAACTCATCAATTAATGAGCTTTCTGCCATTGTCCAGTGTCTATCTCCAGTTGCAAGACACCATTTTCATATCTGTGAAATTTTCTGTATTTCAGAACAACAGGGGTAGTGGAGTCAGGAAGCGAGTGAAGCAGGTTGCTTTTTATAGTACTTTCTTTTCTTATCCTTGTGTGCAGATTTTGCTTTGACTCCATCAGAGCAGCAACATAGCTCCTAATCATCTGCCCTACCTTTCTTAAACCTGCTCATGGCTTAGAACATTCTCAAAGCTGTAAAACTTTCTCTTTTCCTCCCTCACAACACAAAGTATTCTATTAAAATGGAATAAAGAGGGTGGTATAATTTTGGATTCATAGTTGTGGAAAGGTTGGAGAAGAGACTTTACAAGTTTGGGGTTTTTTTTAATTACTTAGAGTTGTGCATTCTCACTCAAATAGAAACTTGGTCATGCTTATTACGTGTATTTCTTAGTTTAGTAGGATAACCATAGTTTTACGGACACTTAGTTTAATTTCCAATCCACATAGAAACTACCAAATTTAAGACATTCTGGCCCTCTGGCTACTTGTGGGTTGAGGGCTTTAAAACACACACACTGTAATTTGAAGGAAATGGGAGGGGAACACATGCATTTTCATTCTTTGAATGCAAAGTGATGATGTAGAGACCATGGTTAAAAATTATGCTGCATTTTCTGGTAATACTTGTATTGTGTATATTATTGGTTTTAAACACCATGCACCTATTTTACTGTTGAACAGAAAAAAAATAACTCTGTTTACATATTTATGCAATGGAAAAGATTTTGTATCGAGCTTCTAAATATTTCCTTTAAAAGTAGGCTCAACAAAGCTTTAGATCAAAATTTAAGATTAATTGAAAACTTAAGTCTCCAGGAAAACATCAGACAAACTCTGAATCTGACCTCCTATAGTAAGCATGCAAATTTCCCATCTGGATTCCATATCAAATTTACCTCTATCAGTTCTCCCTGGAATTTGGGTTGTACCTTTCTCCACTGCAGTACCACAAATCTCACCAAGTTCTGTTCTCCCACAGTGTGTTAGGGGTAGCTTTTTAAAACTCTGAATGTACATTAAATAACGAATGAGGGAATTTCTTCACACATTTAAGTACAGTTTTTCTTAGTCTTTTAGTTTTTAACCCATGTATACATAATTCACCCTCTATTCTGCATGATAGTTCTGAACTATGCATGTGCTACTTTCCCACCTAATCTTAATTTAAATTAAGTTATGTAATTGATAGCTGCTGTCCACTTATTCAAAAAGTTATGTTTCATGAAGTTAAATTTTTGCTTGGCAACATGTCGCAATAAGCAGAACATTTAAAATACTACCTTGCTATAATGAATGCTTCCTATGAAGGAACTACTTCTGTTCCTCCTTTCTTACCCTGTTCTAGGAATAAGATGCTTGCTCTATCTTTACTATAATAAATCAGTTTATGGATTGGACTTCAGAATCTGTAATGTAAAATATTCCAAATCCAAGTTGTCTGTGGTGGTAATTGAGGTTCCTTCTAATAATGGAGAATACCTCAATTGGCTAGAGTCAAAAAACAAAATTGTTCACAGGGAAATTAGATGTGGATTCATGTTTTGTCTTCCAATAAACCTAGACAATCTTATTCTCAAGATTCTAATGGTTCTGATTTGAGAGGTGGAGTGAAGTAGTTATGACTCTTGTGTAGGCTGAAAGGGAAATTGATGATGATTTCAAATAATGTAAGCTGTGATATTTGAATGTTTGTTGGGAATTTTTTTCCCCCTCTACTGATTTAGTTAAGGAATGACCAAATTAATCACATTCAAGCTTATTTATTCTTTGCAGAGTAGTTGTCCAACATTTTTTTTTTTTTTTTTAGAAAATCCCAGGGCAGAGAGATGGGACTTTAACCTGCAAAGATTTAGTTGAGTAATTTGGTAACCCCTTAAATGATGGGAATGCAACTCAACTATGCATCCCAGCTATCAGTTTACTGCAGGGGCTACTATAAAAGAATTCTGACTATGACAAAGAAAAGGGAGGACTGCTATATACAATAAGCAGAAAGCCAGGTCAAATTTTATGGAAAATCTAGTCTGAATAAGGCTTAAGAGACACAACCTTTTGTGGGCGATGGAAATTTCTCTGGGGTTGCATGTTGTCCTCTGTGGCTTCCAAAACAGCTGGAAGGAAAATGGATTTTTAATAAAATTAACTGTACATTAATCCTAGAAGTAGCTAAGGATATATATATACACAAAACATGAGTAGCAAAGAGGCATTTGTGGTGCCATTACCTACTGGTACAATAAAACCCCCAGCATGTGAAAGCTTAAGGGATTCCAGTACCCAATAACACTGCCATATACCAACTTAAGAGGCTTACTTGAAAGAACCTTTGTACAGAGCATGCCTTTTGCTTCTTTTTTTAACTTAAAAGTAGCAATATACTGCTGGGAATGGAAGACTTAAACTGTTGTTCCACGTATAACATTGCAGAACTCCTCTGCTGTAATTCCTTGTAATAATGAACGGGAAGGGGAAAAAAGTGTTCCAACATCTTACCTCATGTCTCATTCCCCAAGCTATTACAACAGATACTAGGTACATTGGCTAAGAGGATGTTGTGTCGGGTACATGGAAGATTAATATCCCAGGTTAAAATTGTGCCTTGCATGATACTATTCATGTTTATGTAGCTTATCTGGGATTCACCTACAACTCTTGTGTGCCCATGTGATATAGCACTGGGATATAGCTTGGTTTTTAGCTGAATATTAACATTTGTTTTGTAACGGACACAGATCTGGGTCCTTGAGGGAGTCAGTGCCTTAATGTTCCAGAGCAAACTGCACAGCAATACTGTCTTTTGGCGTTGCCTGTTAGAAGCATTTATCTTATTACACATCATACTTCCTTGTTCATCATACTTGCTGGACAGAATAAACAATTTATATGCATCATTTTTCTCACAGCATATCTGATTCTTAATGGCATTAAAAATGATTATTTCAGTTGCTAATTGTTAAACCGTTGTGTATTGTGTATGAAAAAATATAGAACTCAATTAGTTTGTTTACTATTAAGTACTTGCCATTAATTTAATATTGTTTTAACCTATAAACAGCCCAATCTACTGCCTTTGGACAATTTGAGAGAACGAAGTAGTTACCACTAAGTTTTCACTTCCTGCAATTTTAATCTTTCATCTTTCCTTGGATGTCCCGGTACTGAAAAGTGGAGAACCCAAGTGGTGGGAGCAGGTTCAGAAACTGTTCCTTTTTAAAATAATTCTCCATTCATACCCTGGCATATGCCTTACCTAAAGTGTTGTATAAAGTTGTAATTACTAGCAAGCAGTTGCTTATGGGAAGTGTCTCCATCTTTCTTTCCATCGTCTCAGAGCTGATTTTGAAAAATCTGGCTTTCCCTGTCCTAGGATGCCAAAGCAGAAGGAGCACTGAATGGTGCGGTGGTTTTTTTTTTTTTTTTTTTTTTTTGAAAATTTTGCCAAATGAAAGTTCTGGTGATGAAAAATGTCCACCAACTCCTCCTCAATCCAGTCTAAATGAACTCTAGGGATTTCCCCTTTTTCCTATACTACATCACCTTTAAACACCACTGTATTCTACAAAGCCTGACCTGTGAGCTGTCTGCATAGCCTGACTTGTAGTGCTATCAGAAGTACTCCAGTTTTTGTTCCTGACCTGCCACGACAAAATTCTAGTTTGTGAAGTGCCTTTTTTGTAAATCGTATCCTAAAATACTATGCAAATACAGCTGGGGTGAGAAATTAAAAGGCTAGATAAAGGAGACAAAAGGTGGTGGATAATTGTAGATAAGATTGCAACAGCATTGAGATGGGAGGAAGACAGCAAGGGTAGATAAAAATAATTTTTGAAGTGTGTACATTACTCCTCTAGAAGAGTAATACGCTATACTAATGTAGTCTCCCTACTTGTCCATAAAATGACTGCAGTTGTTTCATCATTCCATCTTTTGTTTTCTGACACTACCAGTAAATGCCAATTGTGGCTTGTGCTGTGGACAGGCGGCCAGTAGGTACTATACTTTGAAGCTGCCAGCCTCATTTTACGTATACAATTAGTTACAGTCAATACTAATTTAGGCTGAATTTGAAGAAGCAGCCTGCTGGTTAAATGTTGCATATGTGGGTACAGCTGAGGGGGAAACAGGTGCAAAAGAATTGGAAGGGACTGTGAGGCATCATACAGACAGGAATACAGAGAAAAGGACAAATGAACTGTGGCTGAAAGGGGTGAGTGGGAGGAGCGTATAAGGAAAATATAAGGTGACTTCTGAGGCATAAACAGATTACATTTTAGTGTAGTCAAATGTAATCTATTGTGTACAGAAATATGTAAGACATCTTACGTTAGTAGAAGCAATGTACATTAATACAAGGATATACATTATAGAACAATGCTAGATTTATGTAGCTATTGTTTGAAAAGTTACCTATCCATCCAAAAGGCTAGAGCTGCTGACCAATTCTAAGTGACAGAGGTGAAATAGCTCCTCTCTGACTTATATGCCTTTCCCCCCTGTTTTGCCTTTGGTCTGACAAGTGGTTGGTTGTCCTGTAGGAGGTAAAAGAAGGCTGTATCAGTGTCATCTAAAGGAGCTACTCCCCTCTTGATCAGAATTATTGGTGACCCTGAGGATGTGGGATCTGTTCAAAGACCTTTTCACTGTTTTATTTGCCTGATGATCCCTTGCATGCTATTTTCCTTTAATCTGCTTTATAAAGCTGTCATCATTCTGTCTAGCTGGTATGTGACAGTGACTCACTGCAAAGGGAAAGTTACACTAGAAGTGCTAATACAGGCTGGAAGGCAAGAGTCAAATTGTCCACTGCAAAGACTGAGGTTTTTCTAATTTCTGAAAAAGATTCCCCAAAAACACTTTCTGGCTATCAGCTGCCATTCATCTGTTGAAGAAGATCACACTTTCTACGAGAGATAGCAGGCAGCGTTCCGGTTTAAGAGCAACAAAACACTTTCCTGCCATGAGAAAAGCACTATTCAGGAAAGAAAAGGAGTACTTGTGGCACCTTAGAGACTAACCAATTTATTTGAGCATAAGCTTTCGTGAAAGCTCACGAAAGCTTATGCTCAAATAAATTGGTTAGTCTCTAAGGTGCCATAAGTACTCCCTTTCTTTTAGCGAATACAGACTAACACGACTGTTACTCTGAAACCTATTCAGGAAAGAATGTCACAAACCAATAGAAGTGGGAGTAGCCTGTGGACTTTGCTATTGCTGAGGGAAAAGGAAGGAAGGAACCTACCCCCTTTTTTCCACTGCTCATCTAGTAGGGCCACCCACAACTTAGAGTACCAAATAAGTACACCACCAAGAATGTAAGAAGCTTGCCTGTGTGCAAGCCATCAACAAGCAAGGAATGTTACTGCTTTAATATGGACTACTTGTATAGGAGAAAGTGGAAGATTGTGTGTCTGTGTTCAGTACATCAGTAGCTAGTGAACAGCTTCATAGGAGTGGTGGTCTGCACTGCCTGAAGTATAAGGTAGCATAGACCATTCATTGGTGCTTCTGCTGTTTCTCAGCTGTTACTTAAACAACCTATCAATTTTTTTCAAGTTAGAGAGGGCAAGAGCATGTTTTATTCCTCCAAGCCAGGTTTTAAAAGGTAGTACTTGGTTCACTGGCCACATTACATGGTCTAGCTTCTGGCTGCCAGAATCTGAAATATTCTTGCAGGTACTGTGTTGCCTTCAAGGCTCTTGTTTGAAAGAGGGTGCTGCCCCTAGACAAGCTTCAGTCTAGTAGTACATACAGAAGGCTCAAACAACATGCACATTTAAACTACCTACTCTTTCAAGTGCTGAACTCCTGTACTAACCTACTTTCCACATGGGAGAATTTATGTTTGTTCTACTCCTGTTAAGCAGCATGATGAAGGTGAACTCTTTTTTTAAAGATACAAGACAGTGCAGTAGTTTAGAACTAGATAAATTACCAGTGGAAGGCACAGTCACTTATGTATATAATATTTATCTACTTGTGCTTTACAGAAAGTCGGTGTTAAGCCTGGCCTACACTACAGGGTATGGGCAGCAGGTATCATCAGCTGGGGGAGGTTGTGCCTCCCCAAACAGCCAGGTGTAGCCCTGACCATGCTCTGTGCCCAGGCATCCCCACCGCCCTTCTTCCTGCTCAGCCCAGCTTCAGTCTCCCTGTGGATGGCCTCAGCTTGGGCTGTGCCACTCACCCTCCTGGTGCTGGGGAGGCTGCAGCTGTGCTGCCCACCCTCCTGTTGCTCCAGGGTTAGGGGGCACTCTGGGGCTTGAGGCATGAACTGGGGGTGGGGAGAGACATGCTCTGGGCTCCAGTGTGGGGGTACAGAATGACTAGCCTCCCCCAGCTTGGGGTTCACACACCACACATGCTCTGGGGCTAAGTCAACCTAAGTTATTTAACTCCAGCTACATAACTTTTCCCATCAACTTACCTTACGCTTCTCATTCCGGTAGAGTACTGGAGTCGATGGGAGAGTGATTTGCAGTCAACTTAGCAGGTCTGCACTAGACCTGCTAAATTGACCCCTGGTGGATCAATTGCTGCAGCATCAATCCCCAGTAACTGTAGATGTACTTAGTGTTTAGCTACTTGAGATATAGGTAAAATTAGTACTCTAAGGATGGGAAATTAATACATTATCTATGTACTTTCAAACTTCTTGACTGTTTCTTGAATGAACTGAGCTCATGTTTAAGGATGACTAGCACTTTTACCTGTGCTAATGATGGTACTGCTCTGTCCCTAGAGCCACCACACACAGAGGTGGTGGATTTTAGTGAAGAAGATTAGAAACCAAATCAAGTCCAACATGGAGGAAGTTGTCCTTCAAAAAGTAACTGCTCCCACATGCTGGGATTTAAAATTCACCACACTACTCAATGTAGAGTATGTACAGAGCTTTTCAAGCTATGGCTGTTATGGGGAATTCAGCTAGATAGTTCCTTGCCATGTCTGACATTGCTTTAGGTACATACATACATATACACACACACATTCACTACAAGAATGGTAGAGGGGTGTGTGTGTAAGTTAAATGCCAGTCTGCTCAACATTTCTCTTGACTCTGCAACTTCAACTGTTATATCTGACTCTTATTGAACCTTCTGTATAAGCCCTTCCTCTCCCTGATCTACCTTTCCCAACAGCATTGAAAGGTTTTACATCTTACTCCATATTTACATCTTTTGTACATCCACCCATGGAACTGACTAAGCATTTGAGCAGTTTACAAATGATGCCTTAGGAACTGCTCTTATTAGAAATCCCAGAGGACTGGTCTTTTACTGTGCAAGTTTTTCTAGTAGAATTTCTACATAATCATTTTTGAACAGGTAATAGCCTTTGAGGGACAAGTTAGTTAAATGCTTACTGTCTTCCAGCCATTTTCTCTTTTCAAAAGGAGTGTCTTTATTTTTAGATTGTCACAAGTAGTTTTATACAAAAAAATCTAATATAGATTGGTAAAATAAACCCTTCAGGTAAGCTTAATAATATAATCACATTGAAGTGGCAGAAATATGGTGAGAATTGAGATATTTAAACTACAGTTTAAGTGTTTTACTAAAATAAATACACAAGTTAAATCTATTTTAGTACCTGTTACATAATTGCATACACTTTTAGCTCTTGCTGGGTGCTTTTGGTAGTAAGGCAGCTGTAATAAGGTGAAAAAGTTTTAGACATGGCTCTGCAGATGTGAGGGCTCATCAGTGCAAGGATAACAGTTTTTCCAGAAAACTACATTTTACTGAAGACACAGAGAAAACCTGTTAAGTAGTCCATTAAATAGCAGTATGTTCAAGCAGAAGGGAATAGTGCATTTCTCCATAAGTTAGACATCCTGTAAAGTGTACTGTGAATTGATATAACTGGTAAGAGAAAAAGATGATAGAAACAA